GCCTGAATTCATGTGATCTGTGCGAAGTTGCTTGTTCTTTCACCTCGAGTGAGGGACTTCTGCAATCAGACTGCCATGTGATCAAGGTCACCATCACAGCAGAGTCGGTCTCTCGTGTGGCTACGGTGCTTCTGGAGGCCAAGAAGATGTTCGATGCAACAAAGGCCCGATATGCCGCAGTGTGGGATCTGGTGCCCCTTGCCCGACAGCTCTACAGGCCAGAAGCAGTGAGCTTTCAATTGACAATGTTGTTTCTTACAACACATTTTTGTAACATTAATACATATCTGCAGGCGGACACTGGTGTCTCCTGAGACATCACTTCTGGCCAAGCTCGAGGTCTGGGTAACAGCCAAAGCGACATCACCGAAGGCTGCCATGGGTGTGGAGTATGAGACAATGATGCAAAGTTTGACAAAGGCAGAGCAGCATCTCAAAGAGAAAGCTGCCCGGATTGCTGCTGAGAAAGAGCGTCAGCGGGCTGAAGAGGAGGCAAAGGTCAAGGAGGAGGCGCGAAAAGCTGAGGAGGAGGCAGCCCGATTGGAGAAGACGAAGGATGATGTCATCCAGGGCACGGCAACTGCTGTTGCAGACCTGGAGAAGCCACCGGTCGAGGAGGCTGAGGCAGCACAGCAGCTTGAAGTTGTGGCAAAGGCCCCTGTGTCTGCAGAAGAGAACGAGGCAGAGAAGGCCAAGGTGCTGTTTGACTCCTGGGTCCGCTTCAGCCGCAGGGATGCGGAGCACAAGAATGAAGCGGGCGGTCCGACATTGTGGTTCATGCCGTCGAACATGTGCCAGAGGGGCCCGAGGAACTTCAGCAAAGGCCAGCACTGTTCATGGTTTAACAGTCAGAACTGAAAAGTGGGTTTGGGGCCAGGGTTTAATATAAGGGGGTTTAGGGTATAAGAGGGGCCAGCTTTCAGCATCATGTCACTGTAAGGCATGCCAGAAGAACAGACATCCCGATTGCAAGTCCTTGTGGGCATGAAGCCGGGTGATGTCATGTGCGTGACGGTGGGTCACGACCCATCTGAGATCCAAACCCTTCAGCAGAAGATCAACCAGATCATCCAAGGTGTGGAGTGGTTTTCACCCCCACTACGTGCCGTGGTGCAGCAGACAGATGCCGGGTTGTTCATTGAGTACCTCTTGTTTGGGTTCCTGGCCGCCGCTGATGACGACTCGGGCCCGAATGCTGATGCCAATGTGGACCGGTTCCAGGGCCTTGTGAATGCCTACAGCTTCTCTGTTTCGAGTGGCTACCCAGACTCCGTTTTGCGGCAGTCTTTGTGCACTTGCAAGAAGGATGAGGTCGAGCAGATGAAGAAGTGTCCATGCATGGCTCGAGTCCTGCCACTTGGCTGCTGTGACTAAGCCCTGAGATTTTGGGAGTTATCACCAGTTATTAAGATTAAGATTAAAGTCATGCATCATGAAGGCAGCTCTCGGACCGAGTCGACTCCACATCCAATGCTGTTGACCCAGACCCAACGGGAGATGATGATGATGATGGGCTTGACACTCGTCAACAGAGTGCATGGAGGTTCGGCTTCAGCCAGGAGTTCTTCCTCCAGTTGCTCAATGCTGTGAAGCCGACAGCCGTGATCCTCTGCACAGCTGCGACATGCCCCTGGTCCGACTCAGCAGTATAGGTGAAACAAGATGATGCAACATTCCAGAAACACCAGGCTGATCATCTTAACAAGTCATAATTATCATCAATATCAATTAATGCCTTTCAACCAATGGCTTTGCCAAGGCCCGGGACTGACAGCAGGTCTGCTGGAGTATAACGAGCAAGAGTTCGCTTTGGCCGCAAAGGTTTGCACACTCCAGTTGCTGCTACCTGTGCCACATGATGACAACAGTTTCTTGCCGAGAAACTCATGCAGACTGCGCCAGCGGCACAACTTCTGCAAGTACATCTTCACGGTCCGTGACAACTTTGTGAAGAGACGTGTGGAGAAGATGATCCTCATTTGACTTGGAGCTGTCCAGTAAGTAAGTAACTCATGTTGTTGTTCTTGTATTGTATGGTTGGAGACATGTGCAACATGCATGTACATCCAATAATAATATTATTTGCAGCTGTCTGAGGAAGTCAATCCTGAAAGCTGCTGCGGCTTTGCCTGGTCCAAGCCAGGGTGGGCGCAGGGGACTCAAGCGGGTGGCCTCAGCACCTGATGATGAAGAGGGCCAGGGCCAACTTACGATGGGGGAGGCAAGCCTGAAAGGAACCGGTCGCCGCACGATTCGGTGTCAGATCATGGACGATGAAGAGGTGGCTGATGAAGTGCTTGAAGCTTCGGACCAGGAGGAGTTGGATGCGATTGGCTCGATTGGTGATGTCAGCCAGTCGGTGATGAGCCTCCGGAACCGTCACCAGATGGACCGCCACAAGCTGCAAGTTGGCCCGAGTTGCCCAGAGGCCAAGCTGGGATTGTTCGCGGCTGTGATCTTGAAGCGCCATCACATGCTGCCGCTGTTGGGGCCACTCGGCACATCGTCAGGTCAAAGGGTAAACAATGGTAAACACACCCCATATGACAACTCTATGACAATGTGGTTCAAGGATCAGGAAAACCAAACCCTAGACCCTCATTATTCCACTGAAGCCTTAACCCTAAGCGCCAGGAATAAACCTAAACCCCTGTTTGTTTACTGAATTCCGATCGAGGCCCGACTTCGCCAGCTACGAGGAGGTGGTCCGATTCGTGACCGAAAGCGGCCAGCCCAGCTTGCTGGCGCGGGTCGTGGAGACTTATCAGCTGTCAACTCAACTTTTCAACTGCTCTGGTTCTTATAAGGTAATTGATTCTGAAAGTATCAACTTTTATTCCTTTGGGTTTTGGGCCAGTGAGGAGATCGAAGACTCCTCGAATGGCCCGAATGGCGGACAGCCGTGGTTCCGAGTGTTGACGAGCATTGGCGGCTTCGTCAACGATTTCCATGGCATCCAGAAGGGGGGTCCGAATGCCGAGGTGATTCTTGGTGTTCTTTTGGTTGGCTCTTTAACTTTCTGGGTTTCTATATGGATTATAATAAAGAGGCTAAAAGTTTAACTCTTAGGAGGGGTTCAGAAGTCAGCTAAGGATTGCTCACCCGGCAAATGGCCGGGGACACAGATTCCTCTACCTGACCTGCTTAAAGCAGGTCCCGAAGGGCAGGGAGGTGGTGGTGTCCTACTATAACGACTTGTGGTTCGATGTGCCCGAGCTGCTTGGTTGGCAAAAATCCCTAAAGCCCTAAGCCCTTAACAAGCAACAAACCCTAAAGCCCTATAAGCCCTAAAACGAACCCTAAAAAAACTCTTTCAAAGAACCCTAAAGCGCCAACCCCTTAAAAGAGCCCTTTAATGGAGCCCAAAAAGCACCCAGCACCTCAATGAAACCTTGAAAGAACCCTTCATGTAGGAATCAACCCTTTAAAGGAGCAAACATTCGTTTCTGAAAGCCATACACATCCGTAAGGTTGCCTGAGAGGCCGGTCCGAAAGCGTGTGGCGAAGAGTGGTCCGAGTCGTGCCGCAAAGGCGACTATGCAGCACTTTCGCGGAGGGCCATAGGGGTACCTATTTGTGATTTTAATTTTCTTCTTGCAAAACTGCAGCCAAGGCAAAGCCTGCAAATAAGCGTGTCAAGAGGCAGCCTGAGCCGACAGAGCATGAGAAGGAACCGGAAGAGGACCATGCATCCTGTGCTGGATCATGCAAAGACTTGCCTGCAACCATGGCCCAAATGGACATACCATAATCTTGTTAAGGTTGATTGATAATCCTGGCCAGGAGGATCTGGAGGTCCCCCCAGGAGACGGGGATGACACGGCGGAGCATGAGAAGGATGCTCAGGAGCCAGATGAGGACGATTGTGAGGATGACGATGTCCATGTCATGGAGCCAACAGGGTGAAACACCAGAGTTGGCCCGAGTTCAGTTTTGACCTGTAGTTTTGACCCATGCTCTGAAGCAGCAGCGAGCCGAACATCACCACCAGTGCCATGGCTCATGATTTGACCCATGCTCTAAAGCAAGCCGAACATTACCACCAGTGCCATGAGCCATGGCTCATGATTTAACCCATGCTCTGAAGCGAGCCGAACATCACCACCAGTGCCATGGCTCATGATTTTGACCCATGCTCTAAAGCGAGCCGAACATTACCACCAGTGCCATGAGCCATGGTTCATCATTTGACCCATGCTCTGAAGTGAGCCGAAAATCACCAGCAGTGCCATGGCTGAGGAAAGAAAAATTGAGCGCCAGGGGATTGTAAACCTGACAGCATTCTGCTATTTGGGGCCCTTCCCCAAGCTCCATGTGGTTTTGGCATTCATGAGGTCATTGCATTGCTGGTGGGATGAGTCTTTCGAGGAATATGGTTCTGTCCGGCACCCAGATTATCATCATTGTCTGAAAGCCAAGACTCAAGAGAGCTTGTAAGTATGATGATGCATGGCATCACCAGGAATCATCAGCTGCAGAGTGAAAGGTTGGTAAGTCCTCCATGGCCAGTCTAGTTTTGGCTCATCCAGCAGCACACAGGTGCAATGCCGACGTTCTGTGCATGCTTCATGTCCGGCTGCAATGTCTGCTTCCAGGGCCCGAAACAGGCCCGAGATGTGATTTCCTCAAAGAAGCTGAAGACGCATCATGTGAGTCCGATGCTGGCAGCAGCAGCAACAAAGACGGCAAGAAGCCACGGCCCGATTCCAGCACTTTGTGGTTGCTTCTTAGAAAGCTGCAACACATGCTTTCCACCTGTTCCACCTGCTGCAGCAGCAGCACCAAAGGCTGCAACAAGCCGTCCTGTTCCACCTGCTGCAACAGCGCCAGAGATCGAAGAGAGCAGGTGCACCAGGCCAAAGGTGGCAACAAGCTGTTCTGGCCCAATTTGTGGTTGCTTCTTAGAATCCTGCACCACATGCTTTCCACGGGCTGGATTTTCAAAGAGCCACAGGCAGCCATCAGTGAGGCATGAGAAAACGGAAGCCATTGAGGAAGCCATGGCATGCCCAGGACAAGCTGCAGAACTAGGAGTTTCAGTCTTTGTGCATGAGATGGGGAGAACAGCGGTGACTGCCCGACTCTTCATAGAGGCATGCGCTGGGAGTTGTCGACTTTCCAGGGCGGCCGCTGCGGCTGGAATTCCCACATGGAGCTTTGAGGTCACCCGCGGTGGCCCCAATGAAGACATCTTGCGGCCTGAGTGTCTAGAGCTGCTGCTGTCATATATCAGGAAAGGCTTGGTGGCCTGCTTGTGGCTTGGGCTGACATGTGCCAGCTGGTCTCGGGCAAGGCGTGGAAAGCGACGAGGCCTGATTGACCCAGCAGCCCGAGGCCTGAGTGCACGGCCAAAACGTGGAGGGTTTCCAGCTCCTCTGCGCAGCCGTGAGTACTTGTGGGGGCTTCCTCGGTCTGAATTGACGACTTCAGAGCTCAAGAAGCTTGACCATGGCAATGCCCTTGCCAAGTGGGCCATAAAGGTCGTGAAGGAGGCCCGAAAATATGGTACGACTCTTATTGTGGAGAACCCCCGCACATCATGGATATGGGAACTGCCCGAGTTGAAGGAGCTCATGTCTGGGCCTGACTTCAACTTCGGGACGTTCCACCGCTGTCAGTTCGGGCAACCATGGAAGAAGGCAACATCACTGGCAATGTGGGGGAAGTTCTCCGGAGGGCCTGGGCATCTTGCCAAGATCTTGCGCACGTGCAAAAGCCGGCGTTGCAGTGTCACTGGCAAGAAGCATGAGCGATTGCAAGGTTTTGTGACCGGCCCCAAAGCCAAGGGTAAGACCAGCTTCAAAACGAGTCAGGCTGCCGCCTACCCACAAGAGTTTTGCAAAGCTTTCGCACAACTTCTGGTGGACAGTCTGGACAGATGAGCCAGGGCTAGATGTATTTATGAAGGAGCACAGGGGTGAAGTGTGGGGGCCAAGACTCCAGGGTATCCGACGGTCCGATAGTGACATAATATAACACAATTTGAGTAACTATTCTACTGATTATCATACATGCTAGTAAAGTATAAAAATTCAACAAACTCATTTGATAGAGATTGCCAGTCTGCTGAGGGTACTTGGGAGTTGGGCAACTTGACCAAACGTTGTCTAGGGACCTGGAAGACATGTCGAATGTCATGCTTTCCATTGCATTCTGCATCACCGGAGAGGGGCCGAATGTATGCCAGGCTGCAACACTCGAAAAAGCTGCATGGTTGCCTGCAGTATAATGAGTCGGGGCATGCGTGTGCTGCATTTGTAAATGTTGCAGCCGACTTGATCCCCACTGTGATGTACAGGCGCTTCAGGCCAGGCCATTCTATTAATTGTTTTTATCTCATGTGTCTGCATGTGGGAATTCATAATGCAGGCAACATGTGCTGTTTGTGAAATCGAACACAGGAGATGTGCTGATACCTGGAGCTTTTTGAAGATGAAGATGACAAGCATGTCACAATCCCAGCATCGAGAGTGATGTGCCTTGGGGGCTTGGTGCACTCATCGGTCTCAGATGGCACCTTGAAGTCAGCGCAGCTTGCTTTTGCTCAGTGTTTGCATGGAAAAAACATCCAGCAAGCGTCCCATCAGATCGGCTGAGTACACAAAACCCAACAGAGAGTTATTTGCTAGGTCTAGTTATCAAGTTATCTCAGAGACACATTGCCTGAATAAGATTCCAGGCAGGGCACATACAGGCAATGAGTGGCAGCTCAGAGTCTCGGCCTAAGGGCCAGATTGTCACTGCAGGGCCGGAGAGCAGTGACCAGGTGGCAGACCCATTGCGGCCCACAACAGTGGAGACACAGGTGCTGCTGCCAAATGGCACATCACGATCCATCTGCTTGAAGTGTTGGCCTCATGGGTCCGAGTTAAGATGGGAGCTGCGAAGGCTCTTGCTAGCAGCAGGGTATCGTTACGACAGTCACCGCACCAAAGTGTGCAATGTGTTCACAAGCCAGCAAGCGATGTGGGACATCACATTGGGCTGGCTGTTGATGCCAGGACTAGGGCACTCCTTTGGTCAGTCATCACACAGCTCTCGGGCCCGATCTGTCGAGGTCAGTGCTGATTCAGCAGAGGAGGAGTATTGGGTCAGCACACAATGGATGCTGGGTCTTCTCCTGCAATGGCAGCATCGGAGACGAGATGTTCAAAAGCGGGAGGAGGTCCGAGTTCTTGCAGAGACTGTCTTTCAGATTCTGTGCCCACGGAACCGATGGCCCGAAGGCTGCTCAAGACTCAGACAAATCAATTAAGTCAGTTATGCTACAAAGGTCATAGTTCAAAACTCTGGTAATATTTCATTTCTCAGACAGGATTAACCTTAGTTCAATTCAGGCAGCAGGGAAGAAGCATCACTTGTCTCATCAGTCATCCATAAGATCATATTCTTAACTCTTGAATTAATAATTATCCCCTTATGTCACACTGTGATCTCAGCAGTGATCCAGTTCAGGTTGGTTCGGTCACCTCCCAGAGCCCACCACTGCAGAGACAGAGCTCTGCAAACATCTCGATCTGGATCTCATGGCAGAGAGGCCCGAGTGCGCCTGTATGCAAGAGCTTCGTCAAATGTTGGGAACCCTGCAAATAGCAGACGATGCGACACGTCATGCTCAAATGTGGGGCCGACTTGCAGCGGGTTTCGAATTCAGTCATTGCCCGACTGTCGGCGCACTCACCGGCCGCATGCTCAAGGATGTCTCGGATCGAATTGGCGCATGCTTCTCAGACTGGGCGAATGTTGACTTCTTGAAATCGACTGGGCTGGTCTTGTTGGGTCCGAGTAACAAAAAGCGTCGACTGGACCCGCACTTCAAGGAGGCCGCTATTCAGTTTGTTCTGCGTCCGACAAGGCTGGAAACTTCAGCAAGGCCATGAAGGTCGGAGACGAGAAGACCACTTTTCGATGGATCGAATCGGCCTTACTCCAGCTAAGCGCCGCGGCCCGAGTGACTTTCCATCGAATTGGGTTTGCTCGATTGCTCTGGATGGTGCCCGAATGGGAAGCCGGCGCACGATTGGCTGTTCATTGCGCAAAGCATGGGCTCTAAGCACTTAGTGATGCCACCGCAGGACATGATATTGGTCTGAGATTATTTTGTTTTGTCATAATTAAGTAAATGACAACTTCTCCCTTTAATGACTTTCAGGGATCTATGACTTCTGCTTGGAAGTTGTCTGTATTTGTTAACTTCTTCCTGTTGACTTAGTTTCATAGTGCAGGTTTTGTACTGACTTGCTGATGTTGTAACTACTTACTAGGGGAAAATTATTGTATCAAATCAGTCTACACTAATGGATTTATGATTGTGGTTCAGATGCTGCAGGATCTCGGGCTTTCACTGACGAAGAAGGTGCAAAGGAGCCTCCATGCCCCAGTGCCCGAATCTCGGCGGCTACAAGCCAAGAATCTGGAGGAGGAGGTCCGACTCTTCATGAAAATCAAGGACGGACCTGAGTCCCCTGAAAAGCGGCAGGCCAACCTGAAACACTTGGTGGCCCTCGACTGGGCTTTGGTCCGAGTGAATGGTTGGGGCTTATCTGCTTTCATGCCATCACGTCCCTGCACTATGCTACCAGCAGGCGCGAAACGGTACATGACCGAAATGGTATGTCCGATTTCAGGCGAGCCTCGCAAGAGGAGCTGCTTGCTTTTGGCTGATGGTTCACGAACCTACGAAGTGCCGGTCCGAGTGCAGCAGGGTGTGCTACGCTGCATTTGGCCCAGGATCAAGCAGGATCAAGGCAGCTCCTCCTGGTATTCCGGTGTTTTTTTGGTTCAGGGCACCGAGTTTCGTGGCACTGTCAGCTGGGACCTATGCCATCGCCTGATCAATGGCTTGGCAGAAGCATGGAGCAGTTCCGGGCTGACTTTGGCCCGATTAGAGCACGCAACATTGATGTCCATTCGACGGGGTCCGTTCAATCGGCAAGGGCACCATGACACTTTGCTCTCTGCGGCCCGAGATCTTTTTGCCCGAATGGACTTCCGCAATGGCTTGCTACAGCTCTTCTATGAAGACATCTGCGAAGATCTCGGGTTGGAAGCTGAGGGGTCCGATGAGCATTACCAAAAGGTCTGGGAGATTTGCAGGACCGAGTTGTGTAATGCCAGCATGGGACATTGCCCGAAGAACTCACGATGGTTCAGTATAGAGGAGCTGCACCGCCAGCAGCGACACCTTCGCACAATGACCCTGATGCTTCTTGTGTTCCATGGGATCCAGAAAAACTGGTGGAAAACTCTGGATGAATCCCCAGTTTTCAGTGGTCCGAATGCCAATGCTCCCCAAGGAAGGCCAGCTGAAGATGATGAAGAGGAAGAGGAGCAGGCCCAAATGGAACAAGAAGACGCCCAAGAGGAAGGTGAGGATCCGGACATCATCGGAGATGGGCCGACGGCCAAACGGGTGAGCGTGGCTGATGGACGCAAACTCATCAATCGGAAAAGGCAGCAGAAGAGCTTGTCAGCTACACTCCGCTATGCAGTTGACATTCTTTGCAGACGGCGCACGCTGCGGCTTGTGGATGGCTGCATGCTTTTGTCGACACCCCTGGAAAGATTCTTCAAAAGTGCTATGACCATGCTGAAGACGAGGTGGGGAACCGCAGAGTTGATGCAAGATATGGCCCGACAAGGACTGACTCGAGTGATCCAGGAAACACTGCAAACTTGGATCGGGCCGGAGTGGAGAGCGGCGGATAAAGCCGACGCATGTGTCTTCTGGAAGTTCACAATCACGCTGTGTGGAGAGCTTGCACTGACACAAGCGAGTACGCCGTTCCTCCGAAGAGCTTCGTGCTGCTGGAGCTCTGAGGTCAGAAAGAAGGCCCTGATCCGATTCAAACAGGACTGGGACAACCTGGACCGATTAGAGAGCTGGATCAACAGCAACCATGCAGCAAAGAGGTCCATGGTCCCAGTTCGCCGCGGCATGGAATGGCCCGAACAGACATGGGTCCGAGAGAACTTTGTGCAGCTGCTGGAGTGCAATTTCGAAGATGCACGAGTGTACAGCTTTCTCAAGGAAGAGCTGAGGCAGTATGCCCAGGGCATGAATGCGACATTGTACATCGAGAACCTCATTCGCGAAGCCCTTGCGAAGTGTCGCTCCAACATGCAGGGACGGGCAGAAGGCAAGGCACTCTGGCACCAGCTGTCCATGGCATCCACACTGCCTGCCGATTTTGACCGGCCTACAATGCCGGTCAAAGGTTCAAGTGGCCCCATTGGCACACTGCCGACTTCTGGCCCGAAATCACTTCCACGGAATATTTTTGCTTGCAACGATGTCGAGCAGTGCACCCTGTCTGAAAGTGACAGGAGCAAGCTTACGGATGCAAGACCTACATGGCCCAATCACTCGGCCCGACGCCACAAAGAACCTTGGATTTATACTTAATTAATTAAACAGCCTCTGCCTGCAGTGGTATATATTTATTAATATTATAATAACTCAGCAGTTGACTCAGGGCCATATTCTATTATTTGTGAAGCATGCTTCCATTGATTGATTGGTGGTTGCTTAGGAAGTGGCATGTCTCATTTTGTTGGGCCGACTTGCAACGACTTGGGAGGATTTCACCAGTGCCTGGCAGTCACTCCTTGTTCCATGTGGGGCACTCGTCTGGCATCGTACGAGAAAAATCTCACGGCTTGTTGTGTACACAACACCATATGGTTTCTTGGGCTTGCGATGTGGAACTGTAAAGCAAGGTGACAAGGACTTCTTGTCTTTGGAGGACTTTCCGGAAGATGCCATGGGCTTCGAAGTGGTCTTGTCTCATGAGGACTGGCGATGCATTCTGGTAGAGCCTGAGAAGCAAGATGAGGGTCCGATTCGCCTTCGGGTGTACCGTGAAACCGGCCAGACCCTCTT